AGGTGGGCGCGGGTTAGGGTGGGGGTGGGGAACAGGGTGGGAAGGTTGAGAAGAATTTTGGAAAATGTTTTCTCTTCTATTGATAGGGAAAATATTTTCCTCCGATTATGAGGAAAAAAAATCCAAAATATTCAAACCAACCAAATATGAAAAAATTAGAAAACATTTTTCTTCATATCAAACACAGCCTAAGATGGGAAAGTTTTAAAAAAAAAATCCACTCACTTCATTTGTAAATGTGCACAAAGTTACTATTTTAATCCAATTTAAAATGAATAACTTTCTCGTTTCTAAGTGTACATAGTTATTACTCTCTTCGTCTCATATTAACAGTCGTGGTTATTAAAAAATAATTATCTCAAATTATGTGTCATTTTAGAAGTTCAAGAAAAAATTGATTTTTCTTTTCCTTTTTTACCCTTAGTAATAATTGTTCTTGAAAATGGAGATACTACATAAATAGAATAAATAAATAAATTTTTCTTTTTCTTTTTCGTTTTTACCTTTAGTAATAATTGTTCTTGAAGATGAAAATACTACAAATAGAGAATAAATATTCAATGAAGAGAGATTTTTTCTTAAGACATAAATAAGGGTATAATAATGTAATCTTTTTTCTAATTAATATTTCTTAAGAGGCATGTAAAAGAAAAACACGACCCATAATATAAAACAGAGGGAGTATATAAATGACGTCTTTGGAGGTAAGCATTAAATTAATTAATTATTATTATATATGCTGAAACTTGTGAAAATGAAATATAGCGACTAAATGAATATTGTACCAAATATTTTTACGTTCTAAATACAAAGATTTAGTGTAATAGCATTATATGTTCACTTCAATTTCTGAAGTTTGTGGAATGCCAAGATTAACTTCAGAGATGACAACCCCAAACTTGTGATATATGTGTCCAAAANATATATATATATGTGTGTGTGTGTGTGTCATTCAAACTGAGATCCAAATTAAAATTTTCATCTCAACCCTATTTAACTATGGAAATTTTTAAAACTTTCTCATTAATTTCCATATTCTTACTATTCTTCCCTTTTCCTAATGTAGCCATAAGGAGAGCTGAAGCAAAGTTTGTTTCTGATGGGCATGTCAAAGCAATGTTAAACACAGAAGGAAAAGTTAAATGTTGGGAGACAAAAACTAGAGAAAAGAACTTCAATCTTTTAATTAGAAAGTCAGTTCATCAAAGGGATAACAATTTTAAACTGTACATATGATGACCACAACTCTCATTTCATCACATCATTAACATCCAAAGAAAGCTTATGATCAAACGTACGTAGTTAATCCTCAATAATTCTCAGATATCCCTCTCTCCTCTTCTAACATAAAATTACTAGTACTACTACGTATATAACAAAAGAGATAAACCCTCTTATTAGCTTTTCGATCATAACTAGGATTAAACGAGAACTTTAGTGACTTTACCTAACACAATAGTACTACTAAACATTTGGAGCATATATATATCTATTACTAGCTAGCAGCCAACACAACCTTTCTCTGAGGATCATTTCTCGATTTGTGCATGTCATCCTTTTTCTAAGGGTGGCCGGGAGTGTGGTGATTATTCGCACCGGCACCTGGATAATCATTGAGCTCAGCGTCCATTCTTCTTATGATGGCATGATCAGCTATTTCCATACTCTCCTTCATATTCTTTAAAACCTTGTGTTCTTGAGATTTGTATACCAGACTTGCGCTTCCTACAAATAAAAATCAGAATGTACACACAATCAATCATCAAAGAATCATTTAATGAGACCAGAAGAAGAGAAATTAATGTTAAGTAAGAAAACCAAAAGATTACTTACTTGTAATTGGGACGGCATTCAAGTAGACAACTTGAGAGAAACAAAGGAAAGCTAGAAATAAAGTAAGAGAAGTGGCAGCCATGGCTAGAACATATAAATCTTTTCCTAATCTTTTGTTCTGATCAGTATTGATGAGCTAGCCTTTTAATGCAACAAGGACTAGCCAGTGCCCCATTTTATACATTCATATTATGGACATATCCGCACTAGCTAGCACAATATGAAAAGAAAGCACTTTGTGTGTACCTATTGGTTGCGGCAATCAAATCACAAAGTCAAAAAGGTTACTTATATCCGCGTTATGAAAGACGTGCAGCATTAGGTACATATAATTGAGGATTTACGAAGACAGTGCCAAAATTTGAAGTTTATGAGTTTCGAATTTAATTATCACAGAGTTCATTTCTTATTTTAGTAATTATTGAGTTCACAATTAAATATTTATACATATGCAATCGATTTTCTAATACAAATACAAGATATAATTAAAAGATACTGGATATGTCCAAGCCGAGGATTCAAAAAAACAAAAAAAGTAAACATGCAAAGAAGCTAAGGGGGAATTTAACATGTAATTTATAACATGTATATGTATATGGGGAAAAATTGACCTTATATACGTACTGTAATTTTGGAACGAAGGAGGTCCGGCTGAACCCCATTTCACCCACCTAGCTTCGCCCCTGCGTCCAAATCTATAGATAATACACTTGTTCCACCTTGTTTGCACATATCAACAATGTGAAAAATTATTTACGTTTTCAGTGCATTTTAACCTATTATAGCATGTTGTTATCACTTTTGTTAGATTATCAATTATTTTTTTATCAAAAAAAGTTACATGTAATAAGATATAATTTTTATAAAATAATTTTTACATTATCACTTTATATATAAATTTAATGTGGGTGTGAACCATTGACATGAAACGTAAAGCTAGGGGAGAGGGGGGACAATGGACTTTAGGTTTAAGTGGTAGGTATGATGAGGAAATTTATTAAGTCAAAATGGGGAACAAGGATGAGCACACTGTGCAAGTGGAAGATGACCAGATAATGATGTGTCTCAATAGTACTAGTAGTACTAAATAGAAGTCAAGCCTTAGTGGAACATATCATGAATGATTTCATCGATGTATTCAATAGAGTTTTCTTGAGACAGAATCACAGATAAAGATCCGCATCATTAATATAACTTGTTATAATTACATGGAACTTCCATTTTAATACTGATGCATGAACTTTGACATGAATGGTGGAAACTACATCAATTATATATGAAAATGATGTACATTATCTAATTACAAGTGGAACTTTCCAAATAGTCACTTCTGATCAGGGGTGTTCATGGTTCGGTTTGGATCGGTTGTTTCCTAAAAAGAAATCAAACCAAGTAAGTCAATTTTTCAAATATTAGAACCAAACCAAACCAATTAACTCAGTTTTTTCTCGATTCGATTTATATCGGTTTTTTGGTTTTTTCGGTTTTTTCGGTTATTTGTCGGTTTTTTTCTTAAACATAAGATATACACTACCAAACACATATTTCGGCGACCACATTTTTAACGTAACACGATCAAATCAGTTGTCCTTTGAGAAATCTATTATTTACCAAGATATATTGATGATAATTGAATCAAAATAGTGATGAATAATTTAAGGACTCAATTAAAAATATATTATTTTTAACATGAAATTGATTCTTACACTTAACAAAAGAAAACTACCAATCAAACTAGAATGTAAAGGTAAAGAGTTGTACTAAAAGTGCAAACGATTAACATTTACTATAAAACTTTTGAAACTTTGTATAAAAGTATATATATGTGTGTGTGTAATTCTAAATTTAAAATAGCTATTCCTATATTCGGTTTGGTTCGATTTTTCTTTTAAACCAAAACCAAACCAAATTTGATTGGTTTTTAAATTTCAAAACCAAAACCAAACCAAACCAAACAAAAAAGTATTGGTGTTTTTTCGGATTTTTATGAACACCTCTATTTCTAATTATTCTTTCCATATCAGAAGTTTTGTGACTAGCTAGATGCTAGGGTTATCACTTCTAATATTTGTCATTTTGCTTTTGGAGATGATATATCTTTTTTCGGGCAAGAATCTACTAGGTACTTACTTAATCCCTTTCCGTTCATTGTTTATCACCAAAAATTTTGAGGATCATTATTATTTCATTCTCAATCAATTACGATCATCAACGGTAAGTGATGGAATAAATAGAACCCCTTCACCTTTAATCAAAGGTTTCAGATTTGAGTCCTATGAAAAATAAATTGACAAGGAACATTTCTCCTTTAATAGACCTTATACGATACGAATCCGAATTAAATAGATGCATATGCCAAACACCGAGTCAGAAAAAAAATCAGTTACTATAATTTTACTTCTACAGACGCTACACCTTTATGGTGATGAATGGAATGAATCTCACATCGGACCGAGATAAGGTCACTTGTCTCCTTATAAAGCTTGGACAATCCTCCTCCCTTCGAGCTAGTGTTTTGGGGAGAAATTCAAAAATAGCTAGATTTACAACTGGTCATTCAAAAACAACCCAGTTTCAAAAGTAATCAAAATTTAGCCACTTTTTATGTAAAAATAAATCTGAACGAAAACACTGTTCAAAACCCGGAAAATACACCAGTATATTATGCTGGAGTTCCAGCATAAGTATACTTGAACTCCAGCATATTATACTGGAGTTTTAGGATAAGTATGCTGGAGTTCCAGCACAAGTACACTAGAACTCCAGCATAATATACTGGAGTTTGGAGCACAGGTGCTCCAGTCTCCAGTATACTATACTAGAGCCAGCAAAGTATACCGGTCCAGCATAATATGCTAGAGTTCATACACAAGTGCACCGAACTCCAGTATATTATGTTGGATCGGTCTCTGTTGCAGCAAAATAGTGGCTATTTTTTATTGACTTGGTAAACGCTGGCTATTTTTGAATGACCAGTCCGAAAACTGGCTATATCGTGCTATTTTTACAGTTTTTTGGGGTGTGAGTTAGGCCCAAGGCTTATTTTGATATAGTATTGTCACGACCCAAGTTTGCCCTCCGTGAACTGTCGTGACGGTACCTAGTCTCTACGACTAGGTAAGCCTAACAATTTGAGAAAAAAGAAAATAAAAGATAAAACTAGCCAAAATCTGCGGATAAAACATAAATAAAACGTTTAAGATGCCGCTCGGCATATACAAATATAAACTCTCAAACTGAATCAACTCCCAAAACCCAGAATCTCATAAAATCACAAGCTGTGGAATAACTACAAAGTGTTCTAACTCCAGAATGTCTAAACAAAAGTAAATACATGAGAGCTAAAGCTAGAAGAGAGAACGGAGAGGGACTCCTCGGTCTGCGGACGCGACAGATATACCTCAAAGTCTCTGAAGATCCACTCGCCTCACTGGAAATAGGGCTGAGCCGAAGAACCTACATCTGCACACGAAAAACATGTGCAGGAAAGGGCATGAGTATACCACAGCGGTACTCAGTAAGTGCCAAGCCTAATATCGATCAAATAGTGATGAGAAAGGTCAGGGCCCTACTGATTATAAATGAAAAGCAAGGTAAAGCAGTACAGAATACGACAATATAATTAAAATGCTAACAGTCAATATCGAACAAAATCACAGAAAGAATCTAACTTAGTACACAGAAATAGCAACAAGGGATCTCCCGGGATATCGTCCCGTAGTCCCAAACGTAAATGTCCAGAGGATCTCCCGGGATATCGTCCCGTAGTCCCAAACGTAAATGTCCAGAGGATCTCCCGGGATATCGTCACGTAGTCTGAATCATAAATGTGCAGGAGAAACTCCCAGAATACCAATCCGTAGTCCCAAAGTAAATATCCAGTACGAGGAATCTACCGGGTGTTGTCATGTAGTCCCAATCATAAATGTGCAGGGGGATCTACCGGAATACCGATCCGTAGCCCAAAGTAAACAAGCAGGGGGATCTCCCGGGATATCATCTTGTAGTCCCAAAGTAAACACACAACCAACTCAGAAGAATGTACAGTTCTATTCAAGAATTAAACAGGAATTTCTACTCTAAAATGTTGCACAGAGTACAAGTAGACAATTTAAACAAGTAAGACAATTAAGTCACACAAGCATGCTTTTCCTAATTTAAACAAGAGGCTTCAAGTACAAGTATTTGACAAATTACAAGAAAACATAGGTATTAGCTTAATGAAAATGGGATGTTCAACAATTAGCACGTGTACGCACTCGTCACCTCACGTACACGACACTCATGTAACAACAATACCAAATCCTAAGGGGAGTTCCCCCACACAAGGTTAGACAAGCCACTTACCTCGAACCAGCTTAATCAACTCGAAATCACGTTCTTGCCACGAGTACCCGACTCCAAATGTCCCAAATCTATTCAAAGTAATTGCATAATGTAAATATAACTTCAAGTAGCTAATTCAACTAATAAATTCGAAGCTAACACGCGAAATTAGGAAAATTGCCCAAAAAGTCCCTCGGGCCCACATCTCGAAATCAGATAAAATTTGTAAAACTAGAATCCTTATACTCTCACGAGTTCATACATACCGAATACATCAAAATCGGACCACAAAAAATCCCTCAAATCCCTAAATCGAAGTCTCCAATTTCAAACCCTAAATCCTCAATTTAACCCTCATTTTCCATAAATTTCTTGCCAAATCAGTAAAATAATACCATATAAACAAGTTTTGGTTCCAAAAATTTTACCTCCTCGAAGCTCCCTTGAATTCTCTCTCAAAAACCTCCCAAACAGCTTCAATCCCGGGTGAAAATGGTGAAAGATAGAGCTGAAATCGCAAAGGGACCTTTATATAGGTTATGGCCGAGGGTTTCCGCACCTACGGCCTTTTCCTCGTACCTGCGGTCCCAGGTGCGTGTGAGCACGTAATTTTTGCCTTACGAAAAACTACTCCAAAATAAATCAAAAAATAAAATAA